CTCCATCTGCCATAAAGCTGATCACCCTAGAGGGTGAATGTAAGCACAGGCTCCTGCCAGTCATGAACAAGCACATACAATACATGGATACCTCTGTGACTGGGTGGTTTGAAGCTTGTTGGACAGCCTGTCTGTTGTCACCCAACAAGGCGATGTCCTTGGCACATTTCTAGTCGAGTACTCTGTTCCTCTGGGAGGAGTTTGATTCCACAGTTTGTTAGACTGGACAAAGCATTCTGTAGAACGTCCATTAGGACGAAGTTGGAGATGAATGAGGATATGGGGCAGTCTTATCGAACCTCTGCAGACGGCGAAGGTTGGCGAAGCTGGCCATATGCCCTAATCCGATCTAAGTTATGATATGGCTCTTTGTGGATTGACTTAATTCTCAGATACTCCATTCCTCAATAAACAATCCTATAGTGCTTTCTTATCGGCAGAGTCGAAGGCCGCGCGAATGTCTAGGAACACAATGATCGTTGGTCTGTGTTAAGCACGATGGTGCTGTAACAACTGTCGGAGGGTGAAGATCTGATCAATACAGACACGACCGGCGTGAAACCCAGTCTGCTCCTCGCGGGCATGTTCCTCACGCGTCTTATACAAGAATGAATGCCGGACGCTAACAGCTTTGACCCTGTTGGGATCAGGCTTATACCCCTATGGTTGGCGCATTCACTGGGCGGGCCCTTTTTAAAGATGAGGACGATTATCATCTCATCCTAAGAGGAGGAGACCTGCTCATTGTGCCATACTTTAGAGAACAGAGCCACCAACTCTATTACAAGCTTTATTTCACCATCTTTAATTAGAGCCTGATGAAGGCTATCTGATCCCGGCTCTCTATGACATACCAAGGTTTGGAACTTCTCACAGCTTTCCGTTATATTTACGAAATTTCTACTCAAATTATCAGTGTTTAACCACCGTTGTAGCTGCAGTGCGTCACTATTCTGATGAACCTAACGATGAAAATGTTAGACGAAGTCTATTAGATTGCGTTAGGCTTGCTTGTGCTAAAAAATCTTCGTAGATTGCGGTGGCTGGGGTATGTTGCACTTGTCGCTGTATAGGCTTCCTTCAAGTGTGGCGTTCGTTGGTTCAGGTTAAGGCTGTCAGGGTCCAAAGCATTTCATTCCCTTCTATCGGTTCTTTTTGGCTTGTGTTCATTTTCTCCATAAATGTTTCTTATATTTGTGTTTCTGTTATTCTTAGCTGTTTAATTTTCAGTATGCTACATTTTCCCCTTTGTACTTTGTTGTCCCTTTTTCTCTGATAGCCGCTATTTTCTCTTCTTTGGTCAACTTCATCCTCGAATAAGTTACTCATTCTGAATTCCAGATACTCCAAAACCATTAAACGATAGCCTTGGTATGTATGTTTCCAGGTCATCGTAAATTATTGAATACATTTATGCATATTTTTAATTTCATTTTAATAACGTGCACTTGAGTATGTGAACAAACAGCTGTCACTCGATTTGAATTGCGGTCGTTTTTCAGTTATCTCAAGACGCAAAAGTTGCGCGGAACGTTGTGGCCTTAAGCTCTTCACACAATCCTGTACTGCCTGGATCTACTGTGACTGTTGCAAACAATTCTGGCACCCAAATCCCCATGCGTTACGTTCAGTTGCAGCAGCAACAGCAACAGCAGCAACAACCTACTTATATTCTGGTCCCCGCTGGACAGCTTCCGAGTAATTCCGAAAACCATGTTTACTCTAATTCAGGTCAATGGCGGACTGTATCTACTGGAGGTTAGTTCACGTACAACGCCTAGATATTCTAATGATTTGTTTCTGTGAAAGAAGGTAACATAGGTATCTATGCAATAATTTACTCAATGTACATCCCTCGGGTAAGTCCCTTGTACAATCAACCAACCGCATTACTTTGTTATTAATATTATCTAGGCCTTATAATGCATACAAGCTAAGTGCAATAGTGACGGTTGAGTGACATAAACTAATTGGACGAATGGAGTCCCAATTGTAACCATCATAATCAGCTCGCTTCTGTTTTGGACAATTGTACTGTCGCGTGACGCAATTATGAACTGTTTTTGACCCTATTTATTTCGTTATTCGGAGTTCGAGATCTAGTATTATCTGCTATCTTTTTCACACAGCGGAACGACGTAACTGTCGTCCTTGCTGTTGATCAGTGATACAACATGAAGCAAACTAACTAATGCCCAGCATGCTATTAAGCGCATAACTTTTACAATTGATAATTTTGATACTGACGGGTCTGCGTGCAATATCAGCATACGGCTAGAAACGAATTGTCGTTTTCAGATCGGCCTTCGGATATCTGACACGGAAGGTGAAAAGAATGATGCCAGAGTTAGAGTAGGAAATGCTATCATTTTTTTTTCACTTCTATATTGGAAGGTGATGGTCAATAAAAGTAAAGCTCACTTCTAAAAATCCGCTGTTCAGTTGCACGCAACCTGATCCTTCGGAGTCAGTGCCACCATTACTCAAAAGGATTTGCAAAAGTAGCTTGAGGCTTATTGAAATTGACTAGCTTAACGCATGCAGAACCTCAGAGTTTCGAGTTACATTTATCATTACCTTGAGTTTTGGTGATTTCTTGGAACGATTTTGATTTCTGTTTTAAATGAAGCAAGTAAAATGCTAGGAAGCTGATTTGACCGTCGATGAGATCCAACAAGGTCAAGACAGTTGTACAGTGCTTCCTAGCTTTTCATTTCACGCTTGATTTGCTCTATACACGACGAATTCCCCCTGTTAAATGACTCCAATCCTCCTATACTCTCATGAATCGCTTTTTTGGAAAATATGTCATTTATAATTCACCTAATGTACGGTAAGCCGCAACTGTCATGTGAAGCGCATAAACTTTTCGTCGCAAAAAGCAAATTAATCCCACCATTAACTCGTTACTGGGAGCACTCAACAAAGTATTTTTCCCATTAAGGTGTTGGTTTTTGGCTGATTCCTCTGTTGTCAAATAATTAGGTTTTCAACGCTAGACTACGGTTTTTCTTACGGCTTGATTCCGAATAAATCGGGATTCTACCTGTTACCTTGTATTGTGTACTCAAGTAGTGTCCTTCATATCACTGAAGGAAATCCAGTTTTCCTTCGTCTCATGGCAGCGGTTGACTCCGTTGAGGTGATACCCTGTTGCGCTGAGTTAAGAATGTATCCTCAAAATACGCTATTCCCTCATTTCCGCTGGTCACACATTCCTGGTTTGCATTGTTTGGTAAGCGGCTTGAAAAAAATCAATAATGGTACTTCTCCAAACGTCCTACTTTTTCATTTTTTTCCATTTTTACGGTAGCCAACATACTGTTTTTCAAAACTCTCAGCTATGTATGTGAACTGTACTGACTCGTTCGTTCAAATTCACTAAGCACTCACAAAGAGCACGTAACATGCGAGATCCGCCAAGAATTCTACTTTGCGCATTGAACCCCTCAAAGAGCAAACGGTGCTGCGAACTGCTGAACACCGCTGAAGACTTCTGGTCAGGGGTGAAAGTAATAACGGCACTGAGTTCTAGGGCTCGAATATACTCAACCTGAGATAAAACAGTGCTGCCGTCATCATTTCTGTCACCATTCTGCCGCTGTCCAAAGCACCAAGACATTTAGACAAGGAATTACTTGAGCCCTGGAGGTTGAATACTTGGGGAGTTTTTCCGCGAGGTTTGTCAGCCTCTAGTCGAAAAAGCACTCCCGCATTATTTATTCACCGTTAAACATCCAAGACTGGCGAATCTCGGGATCAAATTTGCACAATTTTCATCTCCCCCCCCCCACTCTCAAGGCGTATGAGAATCTATTTTTCATATTCATAAAATAAATGAAANTGAAAGTACTCGTGTCCGGTCTTAATTTGGATGCACGATTATACGTCCTAAAGGCTGGATACAGTCATGAAGAGGCAAAGAGGACAAACTATCGATCTACTGCTTTGTCATCTTGCGTACATTAGTTAATAGTTGTGTTTGAAATAAATACCTTTGGCGCATAACTCCAGGGACCACTTCGTTATCGCAGAGCTAACTTCCATAGTACCAAATTGGTTTCCCCCGATCCCATCACCATTATTCTTGACTGCCTGCTAGGAAAGCCCCGATAGGCTTCCGGTAGCACGATCGCAACAATTCTCCACCATCATGCATTTTTGACTTTGTGAATTGAAATAGCTCATCAGAAAGATACTTAACGATCATATATATAATCTTTCATAATAATAAATAGTCTGTGAACGAATGGACAAAATTTCCCCCTGGAAACAAACGACCAGTTTCGCGGTTCTTACCGCTCGTCAGGCATTCGTATCCGGTAGTCTTTTGTCAGTTCATTTATATACTTGCATCTAGGAAGTGTATGTTCGTCACAATAACCTTGTTTGCAACCGGGCGATTTTTAGATAGACAGCTCTTTCAGAGCCAGTCCATTGAGCAAACAATACTATGATTCGATGTGTTGTAATTATACATAATATATATAATATGCAATATATATTTTACCCTACCCTTGTGCAATACCTGTCAAATGCTTCACTTGTTTTTTTCCAATCTCAGGAGGAGGAACTGTGATTCGTAGTCTTGGCACGAATTCCGTTTCTTCTGTGGTAAATCTGGGCGGCTCAGATCGTAGCTTCATTGTGCTTCAACAACCGATCTCCGGCGGTGGGACGAATACAGGTTCCAATTCCATTGTAATCAGCAACAATGGGGCCACAACTCTAGTCCCATTGAGACAACTATCTGGAAGTACCAGTTTTGTTTCTAGCAATACAGTGATCACTGGTCAAAACCGCATCCTGGGGTCGAATGCCGGCGGTGACCTGTTTGTCACTTCGGGCTCAATAGGCGTCAGCTCGCGAACGCACCAAGGCAATATCGTCGCTGTCACTACCGGCTCTGGTGCGGGATCGCAGGTTGGTGGGCTCAGTTTTCTGATTCCGGTTTTCGTTCGTTCTACCTGTTCTGGATGTTTTAGTTCTATAGTTACTATATGAACATTCTCCTCACACCGCACCGCCGGTAATGCGACCAAAAGCATATTTATACATTATTTGTTTACCATGCGAACTATTCGGTTTCCATAAATAACATAGATACCAGCAATTTATAACCTTGAAACGCAAATTGTCTCATTCTCTTGTTTGTCAAAACTCACTTCGATGGATTCCTTTGTACTTCGTGATTAATCGTTTTTCTGTCTTGTTGCACAGTGGCGATGTTCACAAATATTCACATTTCACATTGCTGTTGTGTACTTTTTTCTCGGCTACACAGCGCGAGTCTAGCTGGCAACAATATGTAAAACAGTTCACCAAGCTGGGACCCTGTCCCATTTGCGGTGACAGAATATCGGGCTACCATTATGGGATCTTCTGCTGCGAGTCATGCAAAGGTTTCTTCAAGCGCACTGTTCAGAATGCCAAACGTTATACATGCCATCACCCGAATGCCAGCTCACTTTGTGAGATCAACGTAGCCTCTAGGAAGAAGTGTCCTGCGTGTCGATTCCTCAAGTGTGTGGACAAAGGGATGCGAATCGAAGGTACGCGTTTGACGTTTGCACTCTTTTATTACTCTCTCATGAAACGGAGGGCTTTTATGCTATACGAAATAACAGTACACAGTTTCTAATACCGACCCTTGATATCACAGCATTCAAAATAGCAAATCTAATTCATATTTAATTATCTGTCCAGTGTTTCGTTGCCCTTCATTCATGATAATGAAGCAATCCGTTTCACGAAGTACTTTTCTACTTTTACTCAGCTATCCCCTACTGAAGGATAAATCGGTTTCATGGATATTATCCATAGAGTTTCGTGAGATATTTGAGGCTGCTTTATTACTGATCACCCAGTCCGGAGCAGAAGGAGGGCTAATGTTATCTCGTCCTGCCTTTTTGTTCCAGTTTGTGCCTATAGCCACTGCACAACCAAGTGCAGTCTCCAAGACACCTGTGTTATTTCAGAGTAGCCGGTGGTCTTTTTTGCAATCTGCTTTCCCCTCCCGAACAACCTTATTTGATAGAAAGAGTACTACAGGAAAAATGGCATTATTTATTTTTGGATCGCAATCGACACGTCGCAGTGTTCTCTTTAGACCGATACAGTGTTTTATGGTTGAGAGCCCTGGCCAAACCAAAACCCTTCGCGTCCGTGAACATCGACTAGAGGTGTTCGATTATTGGTGTTTTCGTATTTTAACCCACGTGGGATAGAGCGAACAGGGTTGTAATCTGGAGATAGGACGGAAAGCCAATATCCGGGTTGGTGGGCCACTAGTAGTTCACCTAGGGGAGTTGGCCAGAAACCCTGATTCCAAACCAACCATGAGGTGTATGAACCACACAACTTCCTGGTCGTGGTAGTGGTCACCGGCTCGATTGGGCATCGAGGTGTATTGGGTACCTTGGACGTTTGATCCCGTCCGCAGGGCGTATGATCCGAGAAACTGAACACCGGCCCCCACTGTATTGCAGTTTTCACTCACCGCCCCGCTGCCTTGCAGGTCAGGCTTTGGCTAGCCAAAGGCTCCGGTTGTGGATTCCTCAAGAAAATTCACCTGCCTTGGCCTGAGCAACCTGGCAGTATTCGGCCCACATGCAAATCACGGACAGTTTTTATTTTTATAAAGATTATTGTACCATGATTTGTTTGGCACACATTCTGGATTCAGACGTGTGTGGATGAATACATATGGTAAGCTGTCATGTGTTCGGGAGTTTATAAGGTACAAATCTGCTGGCACACCGAATTTAAATTATTAGACTTCGCTGGCTAGGACACGTATAGCGCATACTCAGCTGTCGTCTGGCTCTTTATTCGCTGTAGCTAATCCGGGCTGGAGAAAGCCACGCGGAGGTCAGCAGATGTCGTGGAGACGAGGCATGAAGAAATGCACAGAACCACTAGGTAGAGTAGGTGTCTCTCGCCTTCCAGGTTGGGATCCGAAAGACTCTACAACTGGTTGATTGGAGACATTGAAGGATATGGCAACGAACCGACAGCAGTGGTTTCTTGTTGTCGTTTCTTATCAGACCAGAATGCTTGAAACGGTATGTATGTAGAGTTCGATTGCTTACTCTGTGTTGACCACAGAGGTTCACCTTCTTCCCCCTCCCTCAAAATAGGTCCAATCCCTGTCCATCTTAAATTTTACCACTAGTCTTGTATGCATTGCGAGTCTGGCAGCGATCAGTGAAGTTTGCCTCACTTTATTTCGCTGTACGATGATGATGATGAAGCCACCTAACTTATCGGGGCCTTATGTGGTTCACCACTCCTAGTCCCGGGGCTTAGGTTACCGGTTTCCATAACGGAACAGCAGGTCTTCGTGACTATGGATTCACCTCGTCTGCTGTTCACCACACAAATGTGCGTGGTAAAAAAGCAGAATGCAGAGCATTCTTGATAAGCGACTAGTGCTAACTGATGTTATCAGGTGGGGTTGGTTCTAGCCTTGCAGTTAGCCCGTTCTAAAAGACGGTTAGGCATGCTATTTGAGACAACTTATCGCAGTTTAACCGTCGTGTCGCGCGTTTAGAACGCCCACCGATTCACATAAGCAACTTGGCGGAAACTTACGCATGATCGGAGCCGATGGAAGTGCTCCAGTATGATTGGCAGCGGCTTGTAGCTCCAAGTCACCGTAATTCGATCGAAGCTATCAGTTTTTCAACACTTTCCTTTCTGATGTCTGCTGCACACTTCGCAATCGTAATTCAGTATGGAGAGAACGGCTACCAAGAACACTTGAATTCTTGTTTGTGGACGGATTCTATATTTTCGGGCCGCTGTCTGTTTCGAAGATCGAAAAATTTTCATCTTGGATTCAATTTCGGGAGAGCGTTTCCACAACTTCTGGAGACACTAGGCGCGCAACGATCGTATAACATCGTTTTTGTGATGAATTTATGCTGTAAGCATTGGCGGTATATCTGTTCGTTTTCGTCGTATTTCCGTAGAGTGCTCATTTGTCCATTTGTTACTAGCTATCTTAGTTTTGATGCGAACTAACCATTTTTCGAACTTCATCTCCAAGCACAATTCTCAGCTCTTCCAGTCAACTATACACTCGGAAGCACTGATGTTGATATATTGTCCGAAGGATTACCAGTTCAAATCTATTTCAATAATCGAAGACCATTGCTCACAAGTATCTTCGAGTTAAATGCGAACATCTTAGTTTGTTAAACAGTAGGTGTCGAGAACCCCGAAGTCGTAAACTGAACTGAACTGAACTTTAAGCCCAGGGACCGAGGAATTAACCAAATAAAGCCCCAATAAAAAATCTAGTATNATTCAACCCAGGAAAGCACAGCTGCCTCTGACCAATGAGTCGCATAGTCGACTTCGTTGAGACGCGATATCTGTATTCCGAAATAAACGGTGTTTTATATTGCCTCTCGACCATAAAATTAAGGGTTCCTGAAAGTAAGTTACCTAGTGAACGTCTTCAGTTGAACGTCATTGAAATGATCTTTTCTGTGCATAGTTAAGCATTCTGTAAACTTCTTCTGTAATGCATTCGTTTGTACGTTTTTCGACGGTTTTAGTCAGACGCTCGTTTGCTCATTCTCTTACAGCTATTCGTTCTGATCGAACCCGCGGAGGACGCAGTATGTATCCCGGTTCACGTTACCTCCGTCAAATCGCTGCTCGGGTTGGTCCACGTTCGAGTGGTGTTCATTCTCTCGATTCAAGCGATCAAAATATGTCCCTGATGGGTAGTCGTTCTGTGATGGACGAATCAGATCAGTTAGCATGTACTGTGATTGGCCTATCCGGTGCTCATCATACTCTTGGTCCGGATGGTCTTCCAGCTTCTATGGATGCTGGCGGTGGAGTATATTTGGATCCCGCTGTGTTATGGAAAACACAAGATGATGATGAGGACGGAGAAGAGGTGGATCAGAGTGGAATGGATCAATCTCTATTGGATTATGGTGGCAGTTTAAGTTCAACTGGTTTGAATAGTTCCAATCTGGCCAACACCGGAACATCCAGTACTCCATACATTGGTCGTCAGGTGGTTCTAAATGCAGGGTCAGAACATGCCGTCCGATCACGCGCGGCATTACCGAAAGTAAGACATTAGCCTACGAATCAAGTCTTGAATTTAACTATATTCACTATATTCATTGATATTTACTACTCATCTTAGGTCTAGTTTTGCTGCTTAAATCTGATTATTCGGTATATATTCATCCCTTGGGAATTTCGTTATATTTTGGTGCCATGATCGTCGTTATGTGCGTATTACTGCAAAAGCAGCTGTTATACAAAGTGCTTATCAGTACTCATCATTGAAATGGTCGATTGCTTCAACCTGACCCTACAGTGCCGGTTAGTCAGGACAAAAAAACCCGACGGAAGTGCTATGGATGAGTTTCGTTTATGGCCGGTTTCAGACTCACCAACTGGCCGTTTCGTTAGATTGGCTTGATGAATGCTTCTGAGTGTCGTACCAGTATGTCTCAGCTCTTACTTCACGTTTATTTAATACTATACGTGGTGATTTATAACAAAATGAGTAAACCCCATGAGCAGACATACGGTAAAGCTGAAGGTATATGAAGGAACATTCAGGTAAAAACAAATTTGTTGTTTCAGTGTCCAAGCATCCACCCATTATTTCGAGTCTTCATCACAACGAGACTGCGTTTTGACGTGGTGCGGTGGCTTGTCCACTTCTGTGACCCAAAGAGCTACACGGGATGGCTTTCGTTTAACCGAAGGTCTGATCATGCATGGAAGCTCAAAGGGTAGAGGTCAGACAAAGTCCAATCTGGACCTCCAGGTTGAGGTTTCGACTGAAATTGGCGTCCCAAACTCTGCAGGAGTAGTTGATCGAAATCAATGCGCCTTCACTCTGCCTTGTGGTTAGTTTCTTTTCAGAACCAAAGGCTTTGGTTAAGCACCCTAATCGTTCTGCTTAGTTTCTGGATACCCCAGCAGTACTTGCCCCATCAAACCCCAATGCATAAATAAAGTAAAATAGAATTCCATTTTGTATCGGTGGTCGCGCAGGATATGCAGGACCACGCTGCCCATTGCATCGCACGGGTTGGATAGTGATGAGTGGGCTACTGCTCAGACATTCCAATCTTTGTTTAATTTTTTATATTCCCTACCCAGAGTGCTCCTTTCCCCTTTTTTCGACTTGTAACAGTCCCCCAATCAACTTGCTTGCCACTCTCCGAAGTCGTTGCCAAATAGCACCGTGCGTAATTTACCACGCAATAGATTGCAGATTCTGAAACCTCGTCAGTCACTGAACCTGGGGGCCTTAAACGCGAGGACTGACGCAGGTAGATCACTGATAGAGTAGATATTCGTCAACAGTCGTATGTGCGCAACGAGGCTCCAGAGTTCAGTCAGTGTTCGGAAGGACAGAAACATCAAAAGGTGCTTGTTCATCAAATGTGCATATGCACCAACCAGCTGCAGTCCCGATCCACAAAAGGGGGAATTTGAAGGAAAACTCACCGAGCTCATCCGATTGAGCCGGAGCTCTGATGTAATAATGCTGACANGCTGACATGTGATTTCCACTAGCAGATTGAAAGACTGAGCGCACCCGAGTTTGCTTGTGAGTCCGAACGCGAAGTTCGTCGAAGACACTGGATCTCTCAGGAGTCAGCAATCCTGATGGAACAAAGGCGGAAGATCCTAATGTGCCAGGAAACCGGCCGTGTATGTAACCAAAGCTTACGAAAAGGGTTAGAAAGATCGCGAATATTTTGGGCCAAAATAGCCAGTCAAAGTAACTTCCACATCAGGAAATAGCCAAAGACTCGATGGGTGGTTACCTGGGGACCTCTAACAGAATTAGAAGTTCAAAGTTGTATTCAATAGTTGAAGAAAAGGAAGACAGCGAAACCTCATGGGCTTCTCTTCATTCTCGTTAAGCTAAGAGGGGGGTGGGGAGGTGAAGTGACTCGTCGACTCGAGAACTAGCTTACTTCGCAGCATCTGGTCGGAAGAACGTATCCCTTTATCCTGGGGGTGAATCGTTGATCGTCCCGATCTTCAAGAAGCGATCACACAACGATTGCGCCAACCATCGCGGGGAAGTTCAGTTGTGATTATCAAAAAGGGCAAACTTTTCTGATACTTTCGCCTAACACCCTAAAGGGAGGTGAATATTTGTCAAATAGCAGGCAGGATTCCGACCAGGTCGCAATTGTATCGACCAAATCTCTACCCTACGCCAAGTCCTGGGATTGCGCCATACGTCATCGACCAGCAATCACGATGTACCTTGATCTAAATAGAGCCTTCGGTTTAGTTGATCGTGGACCCCTAATGGGTTCGCAGCTTCGCAAATGAATTCCGCAGAACTATGCAAACCTATTGCATCCGCATACTTTGGGTAACTTCAGAGTCCATGGTCAACTAGGCAGTTCAGTCGAAACCAGGAGCGGTCTTCCTCGAGGGTGCACTATTTCGTCATCCCCATTCTATTCCGTCTACGTTTCAATAGGGCAGAACACTACGTGGTCTCAAAAATTTTGGTATTGACTGGGAAGCTAGAGTATGCCGACGATTTCGTATGTCTGCTCCAGTGTAGGGAGGATTTGCAAAGCGCTCATGATAGACTCTCAAGTTCTGTACCTCCATTGGGTAGAAGCTTTACACATTCTAAATGCAACGTGATGCTGCAAGACAGTGTTGCCTAAGCCGGAATGACTTATGATGGTCCGTTTGTCCTACCTAGGTAGTTGCGAGACAAATGACGAAGACTGAAGAAATGTTCAGCGCTATTGAGTCAATTAGGTGTCTTCCGGTATCCGGGTTGGGATACAAAAGACTCTGCAACCGTTTGATTGGAGACATTGAAGAGTATAGCACCTAACCGACACCCGTGGCGTTCTTGCGTTCTAGGCAAAACCAGTCATCGGCACAGACTTGGACCCAAGTTGATGACAGCAGTTAGGTTTGCATGTAGATAGTGTGAAAAACCGTCGTTAGTATTGGTCTACCCGCTTAAACTCGGACCACACAATGGCTTGCGCCCAGTTGTCTATGCGATTTGGTGGTTGCGCAGAAAAGCTTGATAGCTTGATATTGTCAAGCTTTTCGATCCAGTCGTGCTGGCAGACTATGAAAACACAGGGCTACCTCCTACCCGGTTAAGGATTGCAGAACAATACTGGGCAACCGTCCAAAACAGAATGAACTCAGTCGGTTTACACAGTTGAGGCCTGACTCGCTTACACGTAATACTCTTGGTTTCCGTCGGTTTTCTCAGACTTCTTGAAGCTCGTTAGACAATAGACAGACAGTATAAAGAACAATGACTGTTTTTGAAGCGCTGACTCACAAAGAGATGACGGAGAAATCTGGTGCAAAGATGGAATGAGCTACTACGTTAGGGAATGGGAATGTGGCTGTTCCGACGCCTCCGTGATGTTGGCCCCATTAGACTGATTTACCTAAGGGTTGACAGCAAGAGCTTTCAGTTAGCTGAAACTTGATAGGGAAGACGATAAGGAAGATTAAAAAGACCCCAGTTTGTTGATCTTCAGTGTTCGGTTACCCGGACCTTGTGGCCGGTCACACGTTCCAGTAGTACAATATAATCAATCAATAAATCGAGGGACTGACCTTCCAAACCAAGGTATTCTGTAGTCGGTATGTACGCATGGTCCAGTCTCTGCACCGCAGAGCAGAACTGGCGTAATTCCTGCAGCACATACTCGACCCTTCACAGATAGCCGTATGCGTGGTACGTCTTATTAGCAAACAATGTGCTCGCATAGACGGGTTGGAAAATAACCGAAAGACATACTCATTCAGGAATACAAAAAGGCTTGTTGATTACGAAGCTATGAGTAGACAGGTTTCCCTTGACACTTCAGCTAATAACTAATAACCATACTTGCACAAAAAACTAAACCGCCTTACATGGAAAACATCAATCTCGTCTATCACTTCACGAGAGAATTAGTCAGATCAACATTATCTCTAGGCTTCTCGCTGGTAGTGTACTCCGTCGATTGTTTCAATTTTGCGATCTCTTTAAACTAACAGCCGAAGCGGAGTTCCAGCTTACGGCACTTTTGCGCCCGAGTTCACTACTGAAACTGGTGTTCGTCTGGGTTGCCCTGTATAAAATATGGCTACAAGATTGGGTTGGTTCGACACCCAACCTCACTTTAATTGGGGAAATAACAGAGCAACTGGATAAGTTTTTCTATTTGAACAGCCATATCTCACCCGGCGGACGCATCACGGATAGTGTCAGCTCGCATACAGAAGGCTCGATTGGCATTTGCCAACTTGAAACATCTATGGCGCCGTTGCAACATCCGATTCTCCGTGAAGGGTCGAGTATATACTGCTGTAGTTTGGCCACTTTTGCTACGCGGCGCGGAAACTTGACCATTAAGAAAACGGGATCACGGTAGACTATCTGTGTTTGTACACCGCTGTCTGCGCAGAATTGCACGAATCTGGTGGGGCACTCGGACGAAGAATGCTGAGGTTAGGGCAGAGTTCTGGGTAACCGCGGGGGCCCACTAGAGCAGGTTCTCCACCTCCACAGATTACTTTGGTTGGGGCAAGTGTTACGCATGTCACCAAATGGGTTGCCACGGTCGCCGAGGCAGATAGTGGGTGGAATAAAGCCAAGGGTGGTCGAGCAAAGACCTGACATGAGGGTATGAGAACCATAACCAAGAGTCTGGGTCATATAGATCCCGTCAGACTCCCTGGCTGGGGACCTCAGGATGATCGTACCCGAGACACTGAGTGATATGACAGAGTGTCGTAAACAGTGGCGTTCTTGCATCTTCTCAATTTCTTTGCCGCATTAATTCATTGAAATTCCCAATTTTCTCTTTATATCCGGATGTGTAAACAAAAGGAGTTATTCGTTACCTTGGCGTTTCCTTGGTAGAAACCATGGCAGTTATTAACTTATTGGCGGTAATTTTTTTATCAGTTTATTGTGATCATGAATGTTATATATTCTGTAGTATGCACCTGATGAGATACAGCGAAGTATATCCGGGTACAGGTTATAAACCTACTGTATCTCTATATTCAAAAGCAGTAAATGTGATTGGAGGTTTTGAACAAAAGGAAAGGGTGGGCAAAAGTATAGACCTTAGGGGAAACACTGATATTTACTGGGAACGACCGAGATAGGACCAGATCAACTCGGATGGAGATAATTCGCTTGCTGAGGAAACATTGCAGTAATTTCCTATTAGGGAGTTGATGGGATTTCATGAGTTGAACGTAGAAATATATCTTTTATGAAGTATAGAATGATATACTCAATCTCCATGTCCCTTGTTGTTTTGGAAACGTTCCGCATTCCTCAGGTATACTTTTTTGCTGTCGAGAGAGTTTATTTCCCGGAAAATTTGATGCAGGAAGCTCACGACGCCATGAAACCAATGATACTATAAATTTTCTCACATTCCTTTACAGAGTTATCCGTTGACGCATCCGTTGATACAAGACAATTAAGATAGTACTNTAAGATAGTACTACTATTCTGAGTCAAACTTTATGGCCGTTTATGATCAAGTATTTTCCCCCGTATTTCATACGGAAATCTTGTTTCTTATCGCGTTCATTGCTCTGGTCACCTTTTTTCCGTTCCTTCGTTAAGCTACCGATATGTTTTATTTTCAGATCATTAATGACATCCTCCTTGTCGAAGAGTCGATCGAGGCTGAACCAGAGGATGCCCTTGAAATCGATTCTGGAAGCCCACCACCTGGAGTAACTATTCCTGAAGGTGTTTCAGAAGATGAAGCCGCCGTCTATCGAGCGTTGCTAAACTTGGCTGACCAGCGATTGTACCGTACTGTCAGGTGGTCCCGTGCACTCCCAGACTTTGCTCAGCTAGACACCGATGATCAGATTCTTCTATTGCAAAATTGTTGGGCTGATTTGCTCTGTCTGGATTGTTGTTGGCGTTCGCTACCTACTCCTACAGTAAGATATTTCCGGGATTCTAGGTTGCATTTTTTAGAGCTTTTACGGTTTTCTGTGTGCGTGTGTTGGGGAAGCGCATTAATCGGAATATCTTTTCTATTTTGCCAATACGAGTCGTACTACTTGCATTTATTTTAGTGGATTCTACGGATTACTGTAAACAATCGTTCCACATTGTTATACTCCCGATGAATTTCCTAGAATATTAACCTGAACTCTTCCAATCACCCGTAATATGTAAAATCTGATCTCGTTTTTATTTTTTAGGAAATCCGACTTACTTCTAGCAAGTGTATCAACTTAGAAGCTGCTCGTGAACTGGGTGCAGAGGAAATTGTTGAGCGAATGTTGCAGCTCACTCAGTATCTCACACAACTGCAATTGGACGTGGTTGAGTATGCATGTCTCAAAGTCATTGTATTGATGCAGCCAGGTAAAGTAGCGTGCTGAATAACGTTTGTTTCATCAATGTATGGCATTAATCCTATTTATACGGTATATACGATATATTTTATCAACTACTGTGTCATATTGAAATAAGTAAATAGACAATGAATTTAGTTTACTTTTCCTCAACAATACGCGGTTAGAGTAGTTTATTTTTAAGTTCTATACTTGAGTAGCTTATATGCGCAGAATAAACAATTTTCGATCAATTTTTCCATTTCAGATTTAAAGAATCTTAAAGCTTCCGCCCATGTTCGGACGTTCCAAGAAACTGTTCGAAGGTTGCTGGCTGATTATATCAGTACATCCTCATCCGGTGTACGGGATAAGTTCTCCCGGTTATTGTCTCGTATCCCCGAGCTACAGGTAACCAGCCAGACAGCCAGATTGATGCTGGTCGATTTAGACCTGAGCGCCTACCTATCATCCAATTCGTTATTGATGGAGTTACTGCGCAGTGATATTCAACGGTACTCTCCCGGTGTGGGCTCTTCTGAAGAGCCGATAATCACCTCGTCCAGTGGTAATACTGTCCCATCATCGAATACAAAGGATATAACAACTGACGCACTATCCGACTCATCAGTGCGTAAGACGTCTGACGCTTCTAATGAGCCCAAAGCAGAAGAATTAAATAACTTTCCTAATCCTGCCATGGAAACCGACGAAGCCACTAGGAATCTTGCGCAAAACCCCACACCACAATCCGATGAAAGCCAGCTTTTGAATAACGTAGCCGAGGTTGTGGACACAGAAGCTCAAAACGACGATACTTGACCCGGCATACATCGTCGGCTCAGGTCTTGCCGCGGACTCCTTTATTTCTGGCTTCCCCTTGCTGTTTTCATTTCCCTTACATCATAAACCATTGCATGCTGTCTTTTGGATGCTCATTTTTCTGGTCAAACGGTGTTATGCAGACGCTGCATTCATTTTTCTGTGCTCACGTATCCTTGTTCATGAAAGCTTGCAGCTATATAATGGTCACCTGTACTTCATTGTTACGGTCTAGGTTAATGCAGATTTGTTTCCCCTAGTGATTGGAAAGAGGATTGACGGGAAGTTGGAGCAAACGTCCATCCCCTTTTTAATCCTCGCATGATCCTGTTCATTCTATTGATCTATTTCTGTACAGTTTTCAAACAGTTCACCAAGCTGCAGCGGATAGAACCCGGTCAGAGTTATTGGAGCCAAATTTCAGCTTCAGTTATCACGCGGCTTGGCTGTTTTTCTCTGCCTAATTGACTTGTTTATCATTTGTATAAAACACCATTACTTCGTTCAGATTTTGGTTTTCTTTTCCTACTTTCCTACAGTGGCTACTACCTTGGTACTCACTATTCCATTACCGCTACCATTTTTTCAAATGCGTCTTCCGGCGCCTTCCTCTTCCTGTTCCCTTCACACTCACCGGATACATAGATGCGTCGTACACATCGACCTATCGATCCTCCTGTATCGCCCCGCAGCGTTGTAATTCGAGAGGGAGAGCATTGAGTACTAAGTGCTTTTTTACGCGCGAGTATTTCTTAATGAACTAATAAATGTTCAAGCAATTATTCCGTTGTATTTCTCATTTTTTTGTTCAATCGGTTTATTCTGTTTAGACAGGTTTGGCTTTGCTATCATGAAGCCGTCAGGACACTATGGCCTGCACAGTTTAAAACCACATTACACTAGATTTGCTTGCTTCTCGGTGAATATACTGTTGAAGCGCCGACAATAAAGTATGTTCATTGACTTCCATTTGGGAGCTTACTTGTTTGACATCAATAGGCTTTTAGGGTCATCTAAATTTATTGGTTCGTTTTTACAGTCCTTTAAAACAGGTATTTGTGCCCCAGTTTGGCCGGCCGCCTTTGACGAAACTCAGGTCCCACATATGAAGTTTTGAGTCACGTTAGGATGGGACTCAGCATAAGGCTACCACTTCCTTAGATCCTCGGTTCGAAGGAAAATCGCCTTGATGTAATTACTTTATGTTNTTGCATGATAGTAATGGAGGATACTTATTTTATTACGGTGGGCCCCTTGGAGAGGATAAGCCGGGAAGTTACGTGCACTGACTGCGGATTCCATCTTAATAGCTATTTCGCCCCTGCAGTTGGGCCGACCCGTTCCTGCGGAGCGGGTTACTTCGCGTCTGAGTCGCTGGTATTCGCGGTGGACAGCTAGACTAGTGCCCCCGACAAGGGTTAAGAGACGGATGGTTTCTTCTGATATCCGATCTTTGTAACGGCCTTTCGTGGTACTTGGTTTGTTTAGTGCAGCTGGTTTTACTGCAGCTTTTATCCTGGACCCTGCACATCAGTGGGTCTGCTACATTGACCAGTGGGACAGACTTATTTGCCAGTTGGGTTTTAATTTCAGTCATTAGTGTCTTCGATTTCTCGCTACGATCTAATGGGCTC